AAAAGTGCTTTGAAAATTAATTCAAACGCATGCAAAAGTGTATTGATCATCACGGAGAATATTTTGAGAAACAATAAAACCAATTTCGATCCTACATATTTGTTTTTTCATTATTAGGCCAGAAATATAAATAGCAACCCTCGTAGAACAGCGGTTCCCAATTTTTTACTTCTACGGAACTCTCAATTTTCGAGCATCTTTTGGCAGAACCCTAAATATATAAATAAAATTCATCAGCAGTTGGTATCATACTAACCAAAGAAAAACTATTTATTATTTTGATAATGTTTAATGTGAAGATTGAAATTTTTCTCGATGATCCTTTTATCAATAAAACTTTTAAAGTAATAGGTTTTATGTCAAACAGTTGAATTCACAAGCTAGAAATAGTATCTAGTTTAGTTCTGAATTTGTTTTTGGTGTATAAATTAGCTGAAAACTAATAAAATAAGCTGAATTATAGTTTAAGAAAACGAACTTTTATGAAAGTTAAGGATATCTCTTAACTTTAGCTATCAGAGAAAAATAATTCGTTATTCTAGAATTTGGTCATTTTATTTTGAATTGAAAAGTTCGTCGAGAATTTCTGTTGCAATTTTTATAAATTTTGCTATTTCTTTTTTTACTGACATTTTATTGAAATACTATAGTTTTATAAAAATAATCAACATAGCAAATAAAGTATGGTTTGTTCTTTGGATACAAATGTAGTAACAGGTCTCAAAAATCATTACCCAATCAAAAAAATTTAAACTTTCGGAACCCCTGTGACCCTTCCACAGAACCCTAAGGTTCCTCGGAACACCTTTAAGGAGCCGCTGCTCTAGAACTATTCATAGAAACAAAAATTTCTTCCATACAATTATAAAACACGTTTAATTTATCCAGTTATAAATGTACAAGAATGAATTTTTATACTTATTTATTATTTGATATAATGATGACTGAATAATTTTTGAAACTTTGGGTAAGCAAATTCTTACACCATTTTAAATAAGCAATTTTTTATGAAAATGTGCAATGTATGTTTTATAAGTCCCAAACTTGAACGATATTGATTAAATAATTTCTGATATTGATTTATAAAATCATATTTTTCAACGATTTAATTTTTTTACCTAAATTATATAAATGACGTTGTTTTCTTCTTTTTGACATGGAAACTGACCTAAGTTGGTTTTGTGCTTGTTTTGATCTCAGTGTGGTGCTGGTAGAAATGACATGTCTTTTTTTTCCTATTACAAACATCAATTATCTTCGATAGGTATTGAGTACTGGTGTAAAATTTCAAACAGTTTAAAATAACGCTATAAATGCTACTACTTTTAAAATTTTTTTTGATTATCGCGAATCTATTGTTAACCATTTGTGCTAAGCGTTATTTTAAAAGCGCGGTTCATTTTTCTTAAAAAAGTAACAAGTGGTATTACAAGTGTTTAACTTTTAGAATTTATTTTCCTGAAGTAATGTAATTTAGCTTTCCACAATATATTATTACATAGCTGCCAACCCGAAAGTCTATGGTTCTCTGAATATTTAACGGCAGCTAAATAACACTTTTCTAAACTTTAACTTTACTTACTTTGCTTAACTTAACTAAATAACATTTTACTCAGTTTACTTCCAAGAGGTAGTGAGTTCGATTCCCGTCGACTGAAGACTTCCCGTGTAGTAAATGGTGACTGGTACACGCTAAATCTCTCGGGTCACATAGTCCTCCATGTTCTCATAACAAATCGCTACCTCTGGGGATACTGAATTGTAGATTGATTGTTCTCTGATCCAGGTCAAAAATTACAATCTGTGGATGAATGAATGGATGTATGAATGTGCGTGACGTGTGTGTGGCTGAAGACGAATTCTTGGCAATAGATGGCGCCACTGAAAAACAAGAAACACACCCTCTGCCTTAAATTCGCTTGGTGTCACCAAGCAGGCTTGCTGGTATTGGCAAGTGGCATTAGAAACAACAACAACAAAATCGCAATTACATCCCTGCAAGCTTTTAATTTTTACGAAGATGATTTTCTCCAGTGGCAGTAAAATAAATATTGAATTTCATAATTAGAAATATCTATTCAGAAATATTTATGCAAGAAAAAATAATTACTTTCAAGCTATTTCTGGTCTTAAAAGTGTTAAAAATCCTTAAACTATGCCGAAGTGTTGTCGAATGCTGGTGAAATTAGAGAAACTGCTAATTACGCTTTTACTTTGCTTTTTCACTACACTGAAAGAAAAAAAACATAAAAGTTGGCGGCTCTGCTTAGCCAAGACTTCATACGATACCGTTATGTTAAAAACAAAGCATGCACTATCGGGAAAATTTTAAAAAAAAGTTTTGCAGAAGGAATGACGATAAAATTGTTTTTAATTTTTATCAACAGAAATATAATAAATTAAGAGAAATCTATCTAGATGTTAAAACTGATCAACTTAAATTTCCAGAATTAAAACCTTTAAAATTTTCTGAATTTTTAAGAAATTTTTATCACCACTTTTTAAACAGGGTTTGTATGCACCTGGAAAAATTTGTGGTAGTAATATGTAAATTCAAAATTATTTTGTAATTATACTCGTAACTACCGTAATATTCTGAAAGATTTATTTATATATATTGAGTTTCACTATCTGCTGTTTAGTTGTATTTTTATTTAAAAGTGAAAGTTCAAACTTAGAAATTTTTAATTTCTTAACCCGTTTTATCCCGACTTTTTATATTGAAGTGGTGCAAAAAGTGGTTTTTTGAAAAAAGTGGTATAATATGTTATTCAACTAAATGGCTAATGATCAACTATTTGTTACCATTTCAGTTCGAAATGTCCCTGCACCTTATAGTTATACATCTAGTGATAGAATCACTAATAAATTATGGTGGAAGAGAAACTTTCATTTCTCCTAGATAAAAGACAAAATTGAAACAATTGTCCTACCACAATATATGTTTTTGAAAAAGGAAACTGTCCCATAAATATGACGCTGGACACTAACAGGTTAATGCCATCTTTTGAGATTTACAAGTAACGTACGAACCCGTTGACAATTTATAAATATGAGATGGTCACAGCGTAAAAAAATGTAAGAAATGGTGACAAATATTTAATGAGGTTATCGTAATTTTAAAAGGCATTATTTTGCGTTAAATTTAGAATTTGATGTGGTCAGTTGTATAACAAATGTTTAATTAACATATATTTTTGGTCAGTAGTTGTTAAGAAATTTTGTTTCCTCTTTTTATTACTAGTTTTTACATTTTTCTGGAATGTGGTTACACTGAAACTCAACTAGGGTGCTATACCTTAGATCTTTTCAGATTGCTTTTAGATTCCGCTCCATTATACTCTTTAAACTTCTTTCTTTTAAGTCTTTCATATCTTTTAAACATTACATTAATTATATTAGAGTTTACAATGAACAAAGAGCAAAATACAATGGAATGAATTGATATTGGTTCATTAAAAAAAGAAAAAAAACGCGGCTTTTCAGATCAATTGCTACGAAATTAACTGAAGATATAAAATATGAGAGACTAAGAAAAACCACCATGTTTACATAAACCCTTTGCACTCGAATTTACCTCTCCGGCTCTATAAATTACCTACCACTCTGAATGTTTAAGTTTTTCCCTTTAATGTTCAGTAATCCATTTATTAATGGCTTCTATGTGATGCTGATTGTGCAAACTGTGAGTTTTGTCTTAGTGGTTGCGTTTTATTTTTAAGTTCATGAAGAAATTCGAGCGCAAAGGGTTAATTTAACTTAATTTTATAACCAGCGTTGAACAACCGACATAGTTATGAGTCAATGAACATCATTGTTCAACTCCATAATCTTGTAATTTTGAACTCGATCCAGAAGACAAGGGATGTCCTGAATCGAATACTGGGACACACTAGTCTTCGTGGAAGACTTTTTGATAGAACTAATCCGTATTTTCGTTACTTGGAGAGGAAAACCACGAAAATCTCTCATTTTTAGCCCGATGAGTAGGGGATTATAGCTCATAATTCATCTACCATTGACGATATTTTACGTCAGCACTCTGGTCGGTGCGATTCGAACCCGGCCACAGCTGAGATTCGAACCCGGTCACCTCATCGGAAGGCGAAAATGCTCGAATCCCTAAGCCACCACGGCTCGTGAAAGGCTAATTTTATTTTATTTTATTACCGACGTTGAACAGGAGACGCAATTTTTGGGTTGACGACTACTAATGTTCAATTCCGTATCCTTGTAACTTTGAAACCAATCCAGAAGACAAGGAAACTCCTGGATCAAGTGTTGGGAGACATTTGCCTTCATTGGGGACTCTTTGATGGAACTAACCAGCATTTGCGTTACATGGAGAGGAAAACCTCCCATGGTTAGCCGGACGGCAAGGGAACTCCGTCTACCACTGAGGATATTTCACGTCAGTACTGTGGAAGGTGAAAGCCGGATGCGAAATTCGTATCGACCAGCCATCGCTGGTATTCTTACCCGGTTTACCTCATTGGAAAGCGGATGTTCTATCCCCTGAGTCCTCACGGCTCTTAAAAAGATAATTAACATAATCCTGATGTTTATGTTAATTTATGTTTACCTTCAGCACGTGGCGAAAAAATATTATTCATTGATTCATATAAAAATATTCATTGCTTATAGTTTCTTCTAAACTAAATTACGTCGCCCAGTAAGAAAGAAAAAAACTTCAATTTTGATTTAAACTGAGTCAATTCTGAGTCTAATGTTCTCTTATTTAAACTGTATTAAAGTGTGCTATTTAGTGCTATCAGCATCACTTTATTAAATATTTTTTCTCGACAAAATGTGTTTGGTTATTTTAATGAAGAGGAATATGCTCCCTGGTGTTAGGGAACATAATATATCATAACGATATAAGATACCGAATATCATACACTTTCACTGGCTCGTCTATTGTTTGTTAATTTATTTTATCTTGTCTGCGAATTTGCTACTTATTATTCTTATGGATTATGATTATATTATTTTTCTTCCAGGTTTAATTATTCAAAAGCCTATCATCTCCATGGCGAGACCAAATCATACAGAAGGCTACTTCTCACATTTCAACTCTTATATGTGATCATGCACAACATGGACACGATGCACAGGCGGTGCCTTAGACTCATATGGAGGACACTCCCGGACCACTATATAACTGCAGACGAGCTCGAGCTAGTGACCAAAGAGTTGCCACTCAGGAAGAAGATGATCCAAGCTTACGAAGCCTTTGTGAACACGGAAAAGTACTTTGAAGTGAAGAGCTACATCAACAGACCAAGATACTTGAAGCATTATTGTCGATGCGTCATCAGGAAATGCTTGATACAAAACAGGAAGCTTCCAGAAGGTATTTCTTCCCTAGAGTTGCCGACAGTTCTGCAGTCATACTTACTGTTAGAATGCACTGGAATCAGCACACCATTTGCATTTGCGTGATATTATTAAATGTAATGAATAAATGTTTATTTTGTAAATGGTCAGATATCATTCTTGTTTGTGACACTGCTTAGAGTTGAGACCAAATTTGAAAATTTTGGAATACATTTGTTAAAAAAGAACTAGAACTTAATATTTTTATATTACAATTGGAAAAAATATTCTGCTTGTAACTGTCATTTAAATATTCTTTTACTACCACTAGCAAAAGCATTCATCGACTAGTACAAATGTTGGTATATATGCAAATCTGGGTACGCAAATTCCTTAACTAATATTACTAATTTTTGTGGATAATTGTTTTAGTTACTTTAATTTATTTCAATGAAATAATTATTTTAACTATTCGAGTTCCTAGTACTTTAAAAGGCGGTTTTTAACTAATGTATCCACAAAATCGTTTAAAATCATACCCTCCAACTACTACGGAATTTCCCTACTTCCAGAAAATATTTTTTTAAGTGGTAGTAAAGGTAATGTAATATCATTTTAACAATATAGTATGAGAGGAAGGTTGTATACCATTACATATAAATTAATGATACATACATACATAATATAATACAAAAAAGATCAGAATTCATAGTCATCTCCGATTACTTCATCGTCTGCATATTCATTGCATAATCTATATTCATGAACTTCAGTCATTTCATTACATAGTCTATATTCATGAACTTTATTCACTTCATCTCATAATCTATAGTCATGATATACAGTATAATTCTCAACAAAATTTGGTCCCCATCAGATTCGTCAAAGTCATGCTCATGATCTTAGGCTCTGAAAAAATTATTATTAAATTTCTATTTGCTTTGGAAGATTTCTACTTTAGTAAATTGTCACAAAAAGGAAATTAATTAAAAATCTTAAATGTTGCAGGATGTGTTTAAAAACATAATACAGTATATATGTATATTTTAATTACTAGCAATTACAGGGCAGACAACTTTCTTCTCGAAATTTCTTTTAGCGGTAGCTAAGTTTACGTTTTAATGTATAAATCCTTACTTTGTAAATATGATTTAAAGTTATTTTCCACATCACCACATGAAAATTATTTAAAACTTCATTTGAAACGCCAATTTGGTTCAGCACTCTCGTGAAGAGGCTTTTAAAATTTTGGCAGAATTACCAAACAATTCTGAAAGCTTTAGTTTTTAGCCCTGGCAATCTTAAAATTATGTGATTATTAAATATCAACCCTTTTCAGGGCAGTGTTGACATTTCGGCAACACTTAATCCAAAAATTTTACAAACCATTGTAAATGAGCCGTGGTGGTTTAGGAGATTGAGCATTCACCCTCCAATGAGGTAGCCCGGGTTCGAATCTCAGCAATGGTTGGTCGATACGAATTCCGCACCCGGCTTGCACCGACCATAGTGCTGACGTAAAATATCCTCAGTGGTAGACAGATCATGGGTTAGAGTTCCTTTGCCATCAGGCTAACCGTGAGATGTTTTTGTCTCCATGTAACTCAAATGCTGGTTAGTACCACAAAAAAGCCCCCCCCCCACGATGTAAAATTCCTCCCAATTCTTGATTCCGGAGTTTTCTTGTCTTCTTGATTGGGTTAAAAATTACAAGGCTACGGAGCTGTACATTAGTGGTCGTAAATCCACTTTCTTATTTTTGCTAGATTTTCTATTAAATGGCTATTTCGTAAACAGATTTAACTTCATAGTGGTCAGATCGGACTACTTGTAATAAACCTAGTGGAGGAGTTGACTAATCACATTCAACATGTTAGAAATAAGGCAAATGCCGCAGTAATTAAATTGCAGAATCTACTCGATCAAGGACACTTACAACTGAGTGAAAGTGATTTCATTTAAACCTAGAGTAAACCATGCTAAGAGAGCGTTTCCAAAATATCAAAATGCAAACAAATTACTGGAGTGGATATTTTTCACAGCGTAATCCTAAGTAATCATCTCATAATTCGTCAGTATTTTGATATTTTGGAGAGAAAAAAAATTTGTCTTCAGTATTTGAAACTTCATGGCTTACTGTAGGTTTACTTGAACTCGCTTTTTCCATATTTGAAATTTTAAATTATTTATGAAGATGACGGAAAATTTGCAATTTAATGTTTCTCCCGTGGCGTCCTCTTAACTTGAGAAGTTTCCCTTACCATCTTATAAAATACCTATCACTCTAAATGTTAAAATTTTTGTAAATTAATCTTTAGTAACCACTTTATTAAACGTCTCCAGGGTGTTTTATGCTCTCGAGTATTAGGAGTATAAAGAGTATTAAATTTGAGTAATGTTATGTAAGCCTAAAATGGTTGCATCTGTTTTTTTAAAACCATTGGGAGAAGTGCAAAGGGTTAATATTAGTGCTCCTTGCTGACGTTTTAGCTCCTCAAAAAACTTATTGATGTAGTTAAAGAACCAAATAAATGTAGTAAATAAACCAATAAGTGCTAGTAAATATATTTTAATATCTGAAATTCTGCCAGCATCAGGGATGACAAGTATTTCGCTTTGCATAATAGACAATTAGATACTAAATTTGGTAGAATTTCAGCTAATTCTGAAAATAACTTGTACCAACTTATACTAAAATACCTTATACCTTACCACAAAAAGAGTGGCGCATTTCATAAACGTGTTTTAATTATGTATGCGCAGTGGTGGGTAATATCTCCCCATTTATTTAGGTGGTTTACTTGTTTACGATTTCCTTAACAACAGACATGTCTGTTATTATTTTAATGATCAATTTGTTATTTTACCAACTAATATTGGTGTTCCACAGGGATCATCGCTGGGACNTATTTAAATAATTATTATTGTATCTTGTGGTTTTGCTCTAAACAAACATTTCACCCCTGGACTGATCCATCACCTTCTACATCAGAAAGCCTTCACACGGTTTTTTATAAGTAGTTTGCACAGGCTATTTAAAAAGTGAACCAGCTGTGCGCATGAACCCAAATTCTATTTTAAAATTCGTTCGTTCGTCCGTTGTAGTGGAACTGGGCATCTGAGGCCTTACGGCCCTTTTCCCATTTATCCTGAAATTAAACTAAGGAGCATACATGACAAAAATAAAGTTTGGGGAGCGAAATGGAGTTCATGATAGGGGGGAAAAATAGCACTTTTGCCATTATTAGGTAATAACAAAATTACAAGTAATAAAAAAGTACATGAAAAAAGGTAAAATTAAAGTACAATGAGAAAATAATCACTAATGAATATTTATAATATTTACAGTTTGGGAATACATACAAAAGGGGGGCGAGTTAAGGGAATGTGAGGATGTGTGTATATGTGTAAGTAAGTGTGGCCCTGCTAAAGTAGAGACCCGGCGGCCCTGGTAATTACCACTCGTGCCAGGTTGCTCTCTACACTTAAATTACAGGGATTAGCTTACCCCTGATCAGATCCCGAGGGGTCTATTTTAGAATTACTTAAGAGAAATTTATCGTATATATTTGAGAATTGAATCTGTAGTAGTTGACAAATAAATAAGACAAACCAATCATATTCCCAAATCAAACAAATTTTTGGACATATCGCTGGTTCAAAACTAAAACGACACTTCTGCACCCACTTCTCATTCAAATGACATGAGAAGTGAGTGCAGGAGTGTCGCTTTAGTTTTGAACCAACGATATATTTGAAACCACTTTCTTATTTTTGCTAGATTTTCTATTAAATGACTCTTTCGTAAATTGATTTAACTTCATAGTGGTCAGATCGGACTACTTATAATAAACCGCGTGAAGGCTTTCAGTTATAGGTGGCGTTGACTGATCACATCCAAAGAAAGAGGCAAATGCTGCAGTAATTGAATTACAGACTCTACTCGATCAAGAACACTTACAACTGAAACACAAAATGTTATTATACACACAACTCCATGAAAATACCAATAATGACACACTCATCGGCTCCCTGGTGTAATGCCACAGACAACCAACTCAGGAAACTTGCTACACAACAAAACATTATTGTGAAGAGAAATTACCAAGGTCAGGTGGTTTCAAAAGAAAACTGGCATACGCACAGACCTAAAAATCGATTCATTTGATTGACATTTCAAGAAGCTCAACAAAAACTTCTTTGATAAAGCTTTTGACTGCAATACTGCAAATTTTAACAATATATTTAAATTTGAAAATCTTTAAGGAGATGCCAGTCTTAGACCTGTTTCACACTTCACGAGTGATGCGATTTCAATTCACCAACATCATACGTAAATAGTTGTCTTCATTTGTATATAGACAACATTTACATGCATTCATTGTTTGTTTCTCTTCATCAATTGTTAATCTTCATGCATTATTTTGTGTCTGCAAACTTATAAATTTCATCTCGATCAACTAAAGGCTAATAACCGTTTATTCCCTAGGCTTCATCCTATTTGTGTACCTGTTACCTCATTGATCCACCACAAAGTCCTGTATTTCAAGATGAATAGGAAAAGGGTTGAGTTCGAACTTTAACACTTAGCTGACCGGCAACTTTTCTGAAAATTACCCCATGAGCCCGGCTATTGTTTTGAAAGCGGATGTGGAAGTAAAACAATATAAATAAACTTTAAAAATTTTAATTTTTAATGCCGTATGATAAAAAGTTTGCAATCACCTACGTGTAAGGGTACATCACAAGTTTTGCAAATATATGAGGTTTCGTAAAGTTATAATAAATTGGCATAGAATTAAATAGTAAAACTTGAAAAGTAAGGAAAATTACGCCCACTTTTTAAAATAGTCACCACGAGATCAGTGCTAACGAAAACACGAGTTAACTCGTGATCAGTCACCAACGTTTGGCCACGAAAACACGAGTTAACTCGTGACCGGTCAGCAATGTGTAAAGAATACTATTAATATTGAAAGTTCATAGGAAAGTGAGTTCATTTAAACCTAGAGTAAACCATGCTAAAAGAACGTTTTCAAAGTATCAAAATGCAAGCAAATTACAGGAGAAGATATTTTTCACAACGTAATCATAAGTAATCATCTCATAATTCGTCAGCATTTTGATATTTTGGAGGGAAAAATTTT